TTACCTTGTTTTATAAAGTATCCTCCCGACAAGTATTTCACTGCGGACCTGTATTTGATCGTGCGGTCTTGGAGCACCGGCATGCCCTCCCCTGTGAGGTCTTAAGTCACCTGATTCACGAGCCATTTGTACTACATTAACAAAGGCACGAGGGGTTGGTTGCACTCGATTAAGAATAAGAATCATGTCCACAAGTTCAGCATTTTCGTAAACATGTGCCATTTTTTATTTCGTTTGAGCCACGCAACAAACACCACTATTTACTCACGGGTTACCGACTGACACATTGACTGAATACAACTGATTAATAATTGTAGTAAAAACATCGTTTCAAATTCTTTCGCTTTTTTGTTTCCGATGCGATGAACCGATAAGGCGGATTATTTCCGTTGTTGTCAAACACGAGCACATAATATTGTTATTGAGACAGTGCGGTACTCAAACTTCTAAAGGGCTATAACTTTGTTACTTTAATTTTACCAGAAAAATGTTAAAGGAAAAAACATTTCATTAGATCAGATATACTCACTGTTAAAATAAATGACACAACTTCGAAGTCACCCTCTATATGTATATCTCAAAACTACTCATATATCCTTAGAGGTCAATCTTGTTTTATTTTGGTTGGAATGTCGAAATAATCATGTTTTATATATTATATAAAAGTTGTAAATAATACAACTATCTATTAAACTAGTTCAAGTACTTTTGTTTATTAAAATGCATACCAATACGATAACACCCCTATAACACATAACTTTGACAAAGTATCTCCTAAGAAACGTCTCGTTGGTATCAAGGCCTCCTATGTTATTTTGAAACTAATTGTATCTCGGGCTCTTCGAGAATGATCTAATTTTTTTATTTTTATTTTTACGAAAACAAAGCACTTATTTGTAGCAAATTGGAGGTCTATTTCAAAAATTGCGCGTTTGAAAAAAACAGTGACGTGCTATTTTTATTTGGAAAAATAATGCCATAGTCCCCTGTATCTCCACCACTGGTGCACTTAGGTAAATCCACATACCAAATTTTAATTCATCCAGTTAACGGTTTTGAAGATATTAAAAAAGTGTTTTTTATGTTCAAACTGCCACCCCTTTCAATGAAATCCTCGAGGAAAAAATGTTACCTAGAAGACCCCCCTTAAAATGCGGTTCTGTGAATGATTTTTCATTTTTGGTCACGACTTGTGAATCAGGGTTCACTGAAAAACACTATGTTGAATTTAACCGCTGATGAGTCACACGCCTCTCGCCCAGTCGATGCGAGCACCCGATGAATCTGACCCACCAGGTCATCAGACCTGACAGCATCACTCCATATCCATTTTTTTACTAACTCGAAAATAATCTACTTGATGCCCGAATTTTTTTTTATACTCCAACTACCACGAAGGCCTAAGGCCTAAGCACCCATTGGGTACCGTGGGGCTATAGGGGGATACTTGGAAAGGGGGGGGACGCCACACGGACTCTGGCGAGGGAACACGTGTGCATGCAACATGCACACATTCTGGCTCCGCCTACGAGATCCGCCGGGTGGTACCTCCGCGTTCGACAGTCAGAGACCATCTACCACCTACGGACAATCACAACATCCATAGCCAAGAGAAAAATTTCTCCTGGACGGGACTCGAACCCGCATAGCGCACGGCGACTGATCAGGAGACCGAAGAGTCTACTACTGCGGCCACCGCTGCTGCCTGTATTACGTGGGAAGTATGGAGTTGACCTGCTTGGCCTCATTATTCACATAAAGAAGTATCTCCGCTTCATCTATGAAAAGTATAGAACTCGTAGTATACCTTTATGGTCGTCTTCAAACATTTTGTGTATTTTCAATCTTGGATACTGTTAGCTGAAATACAGGGTGTTTCAGTTTATTGTTGCATAACTTTAATATTCTATAGAACTTTTAAAATTAATGCATAAAGTCTATATAAACATGGGTCGAAAAATGCGTGGCTTCCGAAATACAGGGTGTTTAAATTTACTTTCTAAAATAGTTTTTTTTTTAATATTTCGAACAATATTTGATGTATATCAGTGAGAATTGGTATACAAGGGTTTTGTGGTACGACAAAACGAACCATGGACATAGTTTTACTGTAGCCGCTAGAGGGCGCTCTCTACTGTACCTGTAGTGTATTAAAATGACCGAAAATTTTTTCTTAGTGCAATTTTTGCTTTTTGAATAAAAAAACTTATTCTTCGCACTTTTCAACATAAAAAAGCTCTCTTTTGAATTTTCGGTATAAATAGCCTTTTTTGAGATATTTCGATTTTTAGGGTTCGATGCATTTTTAATTATTTATGATAAAATAACGTAAAAAAGTAAGTATCACGATAATTTTTAGAAGTAGGCTGTGCCTGCAAATATTTTTGAAATTGAATTTATTTATGGGAAAATAATATTTTTTTACATTTTCGATTTGGGCATTACAAGTAATTAAGACGATCGTTTAGATTGTGTTTTTAAACACAGCAATAATTCCTAACAGAATATTAATTTGTTTAATTTTCCAATACTATTTTTAACAAATTAAGTTAATTATTTACAACTAAAATGCTATTGGATAGTTAGGACAAAATCTAAAGTAGTTGCTCGTAATGTAAACCCAATTGTGCAATACACAATTCACATCTACGAATGATCGAACGTGGTATAGCATTAGTCAAATAAGGCCTTATTTCATCACATGCATTCCTGATTCTGTCTATTAGCATATCTCTTGTGGTTACGGGAGTCTGGTACACTTTTTCTTTTAGAAATCCCCACACAAAGAAATCTAATGCATTTAGGTTAGGGGATAGTGGAGGCCAGGCGACTGGTCCTCCACGGCCGATCCATCTTTCTGGATAATTTTCGTCCAGCCAGTTTCTAACTATTCTCGAATAATGAGCTGTACAACCATCAAGCTGGAACCAGGCCAATCTTCTTAAATCTAACATAACATCATCCCACATATTTGCATGTTCAGCCTTTAAAGATTCCAAGAAGGTCGCAGCATATAACCTTGCAGGCAAACGGTAGGGTCCAAATAGTTGATTACGGTAGATACCAATCCACACGTTCACACTTAATTCATGCTGAAAATTTCTTCCCCGAACTGCATGCGGATTTTCATCCGACCAAACATGTTGATTATGAAAATTTACCACTCTCCGTCTAGTGAAGCATGACTCATCGGTCCATAAAACGTTACTTAAAAGCTCCCTATTATTATCAGTTCTATCAAGAATCCACTAACAAAATGTGATTCTTCGTTCTCCGTCCCCTGGCTGTAGTCCTTGCACAGGTTCCAAATGGTAAGGACGTCTATGGTCATTTCTAAGAACACGGTGAACATGGCTTGCTGAAATTCCCAAGGCACCAGAAACTCTCCTAACACTTGTGGTCGGATCTCTATCAAACTCACGCAGAATCATACGGGTAAATCTGCGCTGACGAACATTTATGTTTTGATCCCTTTGGAGATTTCCAAAACCATTTTCAATTATTTGGCGATGCACTCTTACAAATACTGAGCGAGTTGGATGTCGTCTATTTGGAAATCTTCGTGCGTATTCTCTGGCTGCTTCTGCTGCGTTTCCATTTACAAAGCCATACACAAAATGAATATCCGCTAACTCTTGATCGGAGAATAAAAATGGCATTTTTATAAAACTTACAAAAAAAACAGGTAAAAGAAACTAAATTTCGTGCATTCACAATTGCTAAAAAACGTTTCAGGTTTCAACAGACAACAAAACTAACTGTCAACTAATTGACCCATGTTTGTATAGACTTTATGCATTAATTTTAAAAGTTCTATCGAATCTTAAAGTTATGTAACAATAAACTGAAACACCCTGTATAGTATCCAAGCTATCCAAATACAGCTAAGTGAAGCTTGGATCCTCCACCATGTCAAATACATAGTCCGATCACCTTGCTCTGCGAAATTAAAATAGAAATTCACAATTTCCTCGAATAACTGATTTCTTGTAGCATTCGTATATTACGTTTCCTCGCTCTAATCGCCGAATGTCTATTTGCCGTTCATCCCCAATATAGACATTGTAGAACATTCGCTAATAGGAGCCGCCTCTGTTCGTCGGTGAACCAAGCCGAAATAATAGAAATCCATTCGTAGCTGCAATAGCCATTCGAATAATCCATGCCCATGAAACAGCGAGTAGCATTGTTACTATTCTATTCGACTAGAATAATATTGCTCACATGATAGAGTGCAGGCCTTTGAAGTAACTTTATATCCGCTTGTAAAGCCTTGCCGGTCAGGCAATATTTCTCATCTTGTATATGAAATTCTATTCATACCAGGTTCTCTTTAACATTCCCCTACTATACTTTTGGCAACATAATCAATATGTCCCCCAAACAGGAAACAGTAATAACCTCCCTAAGATGGACTAGGAGAAGGAGAAGGATCTATGATTAAATAAAGCCATCCATACTATCACTTTGCTAGACAATGTGTGTTTTAAAATTCCACCGAATGTTGTTATTGTACCTTTCTTACTAAATTACGTGTGTCATTTTATTTCTAGCTTAAGTAGCAGGTATATCATTTATGAGGCCATGCATACCAGCGTAGGCAAGCTTTCTGTGGGTTTTCTCCCATTTTTATTGTACTAGAAGAAGTCCTCTAACTTTATCTCCTTGTAGTTTGGATAATAAACATTATTTTTTTTATTTTATAATAAAAACATATAAATTGTAACAACATGGCGTTACCAACTGAATGTTTGAATCTGTATTCTCCATTACAATGATAATAATTTTACAATATTAACATATTATTACAGCTGTATCTTAACCATCCTAATTACATAATATTAATTTTTATATTTATTTTTTAAAAGGAATTTATTTTTTATTTACTACAAAGAATAGACACCTGAGCTATAAGCTTGTGTGTGTCACATAATACGAGGGATGTCTTTTAAGTTATGCATACGGAAATAAAACAACACGGTAGGTAGTTTTAAATGACTTTATTGTTTTTCGAAGTATTCTCCATGTAGATTAATACACATCTGCATGCGCTCCAACCAATTTTCAAAGCACTTATTCCACTTGTTTGCTGGAAGATCCAAATCGGCAATTTGGAATGCGTCAACTGCTTCCTCTGGTGACTGGAACATTTGACCACGCAGTCTGTTCTTAATTTTCGGGAAAGTAAAGAAATCGTTCGGACTTAGATCGGGACTATATGGAGGATGGTCCAATAATTCCACGTTCTCTTCCGTTAAATACTGCCTTGTTTTTTGGGCTGTGTGCGAGCTTGCATTGTCTTGGTGGTATACCAATTCGCAGTAACAGTTCTTTGCTCATTAAGAGGAACTGTTGCAATATGACTGGCTTTTGAAGCAAATGTCGCTACCATCTTTTTCGAAACACTTCGAGAACGGATGACTTTTGTTTTCTTTTCTTCACCTTGGGACACCCAAACAGCCGACTGTCGTTTATTTTTTGGTTCATAACAGTAAATCAACGATTCATCACCACTAACAATGCTGTACACATTTTTTTGCTTCCGGAATTGAAACGGTCAACCGTTTTTTGACATCAATTAACCCTGGCTGCTTTCTGCTCTTCAGTCAACAGGTGGGGTATCCAACGAGAGACTAATTTTCTTACTCCTAATTCTTCATGTAAAATTTTTTGAATTGAGGTCTTTGAGATCTTCAAGGACGCCTCAATCTCGCGATATGTCAGATGTCTATCTTCAACGATGAGTTTGCGCACAGCATCGACGTTTTCCTGGGTGACTGCCGTTTTTGGTGCACCCACCCTTTAATCGTCACTAAGACTCACCCGTTCAAGTTTGAATTCTCCATACCAACGGGAAATTGTCTACTGATGTGGCGCTTCCTTGCCGAAAACAGACAGTAACTCAGCAAGGCATTTTTGTTGCGATAATTGTCTCTGAAGGTTGCAATAAATTATGGCGCGAAAATGTTCTCGGTTGAGTTCAATTTTTCTAATGACTTGGTAACAATTAAAAATTCACTGTAGTGAGAACACTGCACGTATTGTTGTGAAACTTTGAATTTAAGCTTACCAAAGAGTGAGGTTAAGATTCAGTACTGACGATCGATCCGCGCGGCCTACTATGTTTCTATATGCAAAACTTAAAAGACATCGTATACAAATTCAATGCATGGCTAATGGTCATAAAGTGTATTATGAGCAAATGTATATACAAAAAAAAAAGAAACAAAAACATTAGATAGAAACGAAATGACTGGGTTGAGTCAAGGTACAATCGATGCAAGCATGTCAAAGTTATTTAAGATGAAGTTCTCAATTCTTTTTTTGAAACTATACTCCGAGAGGATTTTATATTCTAGGGCTAATTTATTATACAGCCTAATACCATCAAACTTAATGCATTTTTGGCAAACAGATTTATTCACTCTGGTATAAGTGTAACTTATATTTATTTTAGTTCTTGTTTCGTGGCTGGTTGGAACATTGTTTCTGGAGTGAACAAATTTCAGAGCAGCAAAGATATATAAACCTCCAACATTCAAAAGATTATTTTCAATGTAAACGAATCTGAAACTTGACCTACATGGGATACGAAAAATAGTCCTGGCAATATAATTTTGCGTGGTTTGTAATATTTTTAAAGTACTAGTGTATGCGGCTCTCCATATACTTATCCCGTGAGTTAGTAGAGACCCCACAAATGAGTTGTATATTGAAAGAAGGCTCTTTCTGCTTAAAATATTCCTAAGAATGACAAACTTATGAATAGTTCTCCTTAATTTCGATGCCAAAAGCTCGGCATGACTTTGCCATTTTAAATTACTGACAACAATGATTCCTAAGTATCTAATAACTTCAACTCTTTCGACAGTGTCAGCACTATCATTTATAATTAATGTTCGGTGGTTGCTTTGGTTGGAGAAAACGTTACATACTCAGTTTTAGAGATATTAAGTTTAAGTAAATTGTTATCTAGCCAACATTTGGCTTTATTTAATGACAACTCGGCAATCCGTATTGCGTCATCCCATGAATGACCAGTGCAAACTAAAACAGTATCGTCTGCATCTGATATCATTTTACAGTTGAAATTGCATCAAAGTAGTTTATTTATGTATATGATGTTGGTCCCAAAACCGTACCCCGAGGCACACCTATTTTGATCTTTGGAATGCTGCTTAAGTCTGACTCTAACTTAACTTGTTGTAACCGATCAGCCAAATAGTTCTCAAATAAGTTAAGAACTCCACTACGCACTCCAACACTTTCTAGTTTCTTTAATAAAATTGTAGAGATACTGAATCGAAAGCCTTTAGAAGATCTAGGAAAACTGCAACAGTCTTATTTCCATCTTGAAAATTTTCAAGAAACAAGAGTACTACAATTTACTACAAAAGAATAGACACCTAAGCTATAAGCTTGTGTGTGTCATACAATATACAAATTCAATCCATGGCTAATGGTCATAAGGTATATTATGAGCAAATGTATATGAAAAAAAAAATAAATAAAAAAAAACATTAGATCGAAACGAAATGACTGAGTTGAGTCAAGCGACAGTCGATGCAAGCATGTCAAAGTTATTTAAGATGAACTTCTTAATTCTTTTTTTGAAACTATACTTCGAGAGGATTTTATATTCTAGGGGTAATTTATTATACAACCTAATACCATCAAACTTTATGCATTTCTGGCAAACAGATTTATTCACTCTTTTATAAGTGTAACTTATATTTATTTTAGTTCTTGTTTCGTAAGCGTGGCTGGTTGGAACTTTGTTTCTGGAGTGAACAAAGTTCAGAGCAGCAAAAATGTATAAACCTCTAACATTCAAAAGATCATTTTCAATGTAAACAAATCTGCAACTTGACCTACATGGGATATGAAAAATAGTCCTGAAAATATAATTTTGCGTGGTTTGTAGTATTTTTAAAGTACTAGTGTATGCGGGTCCCCATATACTTATCCGTAAGTTAGTAGAGACCCCACAAACGAGTTGTATATTGAGAGAAGACTCTTTCTGCTTAAAATATTAATAAGAATGAAAAACTTATGAATAATTCTCCTTAATTTCGATGCCAAAAGCTCGGCATGACTTTGCCATTTTAAATTACTGTCAACAATGAGTCCTAAGTATCTAATAACGTCAACTCTTTCGACAGTGTCAGCACTATCATTTATAATTAATGTTCGGTGGTTGCTTTGGTTGGAGAAAACGTCACATACTCAGTTTTAGAGATATTAAGTTTAAGTAAATTGTTATCTAGCCAACATTTGACTTTATTTAATGACAACTCGGCAATCCTTATTGCGTCATCCCATGAATGACCAGGGCAAACTAAAACAGTATCGTCTGCATATGATATCATTTTACAGTTGAAATTGCAGCAAAGTAGTTCATTCATGAATATGAGGAACAGTGACGCTCCCAAAACCGTACCCTGAGGCGCATCTATTTTGATCTTTGGAATGCTGCTTAAGTCTGACCCTACCTTAACTTGTAATCAGCCAAATAGTTCTTAAATAAGCTCAGAACTCCACCACGCACTCCAACACTTTCTAGTCTCTTTAATAAAATTGTATGAGATACTGAATCGAAAGCCTTTAGAAGATCTAGGAAAACTGAAACAGTCTTATTTCCATCTTGGAAATTTTGATGCACTTGTCCTATAAGTTCTTGTAGAGATTGCTTTGTATTGCAATTTTTGGGGAACTTAAATTGACAGTTCGATATTATGTCATATTTTTCAAGAAAAGAACAAAGTCTGCTATTCAAACACTTCTCAAAAATCTTCCCAAATACATTGATAGCTAAAATAGGTCTATAATTGGAAATATTGTCTTTACTTCCAGATTTAAATATTGGTGTCACTATGCTTTCTTTAAATTGGCGAGAAATTACTGAGGATTTGAAACAGAGGTTGATAATGTGAGTTATAGGGTGACTGATATACATCATCTTGATAGGTTTAGTGTGTAAGCCATCTTTTCCGGGTGCGGTATTATTTTTCAGATTAAAAACTATTTGCTGTAACTTTATGTTATCCACTGGAGTTAGAAACATAGAGTGAGCAATGTTGACGACATGAAGATATGATGTATCAAGAATTGAGTTTTGATCAATCTGACTTGTTATTTGCTCACCTTAATCAACAAAATATTTATTAAAAACACATGCTATATCAGTGGGAGCGTCCAGCTGCTGATTATTGTGATTAATTGATTTTACGTAGTTTTTTTTAATCTAAAAAAAATATTATTGTTACTATTGTCTTCCATCAATGAACACTACCACTTTTCTTCTATCCACCTCTCCAGCTCAACCTCAGAGGTCGTTGTGGCAGATTTGGTACCTACTTATAAAGGAATTTCATGTGCGAAGCTGAGGATTGGACTTATCGTACAGGAATGTTGGAATTAGGAAGTTTCCTATAGTGAAGAAACTGCTGGTTTTCATTTCATCTAAATAGTATAACTGCTATCCTCCACCAGTCTGAGATAACATGCTCTGTATTGGATGCTGTCTCCGACCGCCCTCAACAACAAGTGATAAAATGGTCAGGTTTTTCTGTTAAGTTTTTGCGGTGGCTGTGTGTATTGTTAGGTGATAAAGAAGCAATCATATAAATCGTTTATATTGACGTATAGCTCTTAAGCAATAATAATATTTTTTACAGCTGGTATAACAGTAGCTAAAAAGTAATATTTTGTATTTGTATGAACTCTTAATTGGTACCGATAAAGAGACTCAGTTTTGAAGAAAAATGCTACGAATACTGCTCTTACGGATTTCCACCGTATTTTTTTTTTTTTGGTGAGGGGGGGATACGTTTATGCACCATACCATAGCCCGAGCTACGGCGTGTGTGGGACTCCAGGTTGTCTTGAGGAGACCATCTAATACCCACTAAACCCTAACCTCCGCGTGGCCCGACTCATCAGCGTCTCGGTAGGCCATGTGTTGTGCGTGACCTGAGCTCCGCTACAACGTCTCCTCATGTGTTTCAGTATCTGGGAACGCCGGGTTGGTTCCCTTTACCTCGCACAGTTCTATCGATGTCGTTAAGCGAACATCGATATAGGGTGTGCTATGTTCTCTTGAAACTCTTGTTTTCGAAAAATCAAGAGTTTCAAGTCCTCTGCCACTTGTATGTTACCTGGTCCTGATGGGTTCTGGTCCTGATGGGTTCTGGTCCTGATTGGTCCTGGCCCTGATGGGTCCTGGTCCTGGTTGGTCCTGGTCCTGATGGGTCCTGGTCCTAGTCATTGCTGGTCTAATGCTTGTCTTGCATCTTGGCCTCGAGTGCATCCAGGCGGGTTATGATGGCTTGCATCATAGCTAGCAGTCTGTCATCGCCGTGTTGCTTCTGAGCCGTAGTTCCAGTAGCAGTGGCGGCTGCTGGGGCAGAAGTGGACTTAGTTTTCTTCGCTTTTTCAGCATAAGACGTCCTATTTGAGGTGGAGGCTGCTTTGGGGGCACCTGCAGCTTTCCTCGGGGCTTTACTACGTCCTTTGTAGTTGGCTGGGTGTCCTTCTCCGCAAACGCAGCACTTGGCATTTCGTTGCCCTGTTGGCGGCGTCGGCAGTTTGCAGTTGGTGCTGTTGTGGTCCTCACCACACTTGACGCACCGTTCAGCGCGACGGCAGTTTCGCTGCGTGTGTCCGTACCACTGGCAGCGGTAGCATTGGCTGGACTCGGTCGATCTCTTTTTCTTCTCGAAGCTGACCGTGAGCATGGTCAGCCTCTGGACCTCCTGCAGCTTTTCCGCCATCCTCGTCTTCACGAAGAAGAGCGGTAGCGGCTGCTTGGTGTTCCTGGTCTTCATCTGTTGAACCTCGGCGTCTGCGATCCCTTGGCTCACTAGATATTCTCTGATGTCTTCGGTAGACATCTCTCTGGTAAGTCCTCGAATCACCCTCCGATCCAACTTATCCTCCTTCAGCTGGTAGGTGAAGAAGGGCCTCTTCATTGAGTCTAGCAGGGTAACTAGCTGCC